AATCCCTAAACCCTAAACCCTAAACCCTAAAACGAATTGACAGCAGCAACACAGCAACCTCGAGCACAAGCCACGCAGAAGCTGCTGCAGTCAGCGCTACTGCTGCTGCTGCTGCAGCTTCTGCGCTGGTGTTCTGCTGTCTCCTGCTGCTGCTGCTGCTGCTGCTGCTGCTGCAGTGTGTCTCACTTTGCTGCTTTTAGCGATGTGCGGCACCACAATAACGTTCGGAATTTTGGGGACTGCACAGCAGCAACAAACAAAACACAAAAAAAAGATTCAACCCGCTGCTGCTGCTGCTGCTGTTGTTGTTGCTGCTGCTGCTGTCCGGTGCTATCGCGGCAGCTGCCGCAGACAGCAGCAGCAGACAGAAGCAACGACAAAGAGACAGCAGCAGCAGCAGCAGCAAAAAACAGACAGCAGCAGCAGCAGTAGACAGCAGCAGCAGCAGCAGCAGCAGCAGCAGACAGGTGGAGCAACAATAAGAGGCAGCAGCAGCAGCAGCAGCATTCTAATGAACAGCGGCAGTTTCAAAGGACAATGAGCAGAAATAACAGAAGCACAGAGACAGCAGCAGCAGAAGAACCAGCAGCAGCATCACAGCAGCAGCAGCAGCAGAAACACCATCATCAGCAGCAGCAGCAGCAGCACCACCACAACCACCACAACCATCAGAACCATCAGCAGAAGCAGCAGCAGCAGGAGCAGCAGCAGCAACAGCAGCAGGATGGCTGACTAGCGATCCCTGCAGTAAAAGGAAGTCTATAAGCTCTCGGATATCTTCGTTCAGAGAGTTGATGAATGAAGGGGCAGTAATAAACAGAGCAGCCGCCTTTGTAATATCGCTGGCAGTGTATTGTCTGTACACCGCAATGCATGCAAACAAACAAATACAAACAAACAAATACAACATACACTCTAGGGTTTAGGGGCTAGGGTTTAGGCTTTAGGGCGTACGGGGTAGGTAGGGGTTACGGACTACGGTTTAGGGTTTAGGGTTTAATGCTTGGGGTTTAGGGTTTAGGGTTTAGGGTTTAGGGTTTAGGGTTTGTGTTTACTTTAGAAACCAGATGATGATAAAGGGCTTCTTCTTAATGATGAAAAAGACTAGGGTTTAGGGTTTAGGGTTTAGGGTTTACATAATAAACAAAGGGATGATAAAGCGCTTCTTCTTCTTAATGAGCGAAGGGACTAAGGACTAGGGTTTAGGGTTTAGGGTTTAGGGTTTACTTTATAAACAAGAGGATGATAAAGCGCTTCTTCTTCAGAGTGTGCGAAGGGGCACTCCCAACCTCTTGAGCAAGAAGAGAGCAGCGCTTGGTTGTTGCTGTTTATATCTTTTTGCGTTCCTGCTGCTGCTGCTGCTGCTGGTGATGTTGCTGCTGTTGCTGCTGCTGCTTCTGTGTCTCCTGC